CGGGTACGAATTCAGAGCTCGAGCCTCAGAGGGGTTGTTGCACCAATTCCAGCAGTGTAAAATTAGTCTTAAAAGCACCAAGGACTATTACTTTTTTCTTTTTTGAGGGCTTCAGGTGCTTAAGTCTCTGTGAAATCAGTGCTCGGACTGGTTGTAAAAGCTGCAAGCTGCTCAGTAAACGTGCAGCAGCAATCCTAGAACAGGCTGTTTGATAGCTCTGGCTCTTTTTTAAGTACTTCTTTGGAGGAGAGCAAGTGATCCGTGTCCATGTATAAATTCTTTCAGATGCTCTCCAGAGTGAAATACTTAAGACCCCATCACTGGAAGGATAGCTATGCCTGGGAAGGACCTCTGGCTTAAAGAAGCCCACCTTATTTCATCTTTTTCAAGAGCTACAGGAAAATTTCCTTGGAGCTCTTGCCTATTGAAGCATTTTGCCATTTCTTCTGCCGGGACGGGAGAAGGGCTGACAAAGGTTTCCCTGGATGATAGTGAATATCAGTTGTGTCCTTCCTCCATCTGGTGTGCCAGGTATTTTGGCTTGTTCCAAGCTGCGAGCGAACCAGCGGCAGAGCTGCCGATTCCCGCCCTAGGAGATCAGGGCCAGCGTAGCGTGGGGGCGGACGGGTGGGAGCGCCCTGTCCGTGGAAAGGCATCATGCTGCATGTGTTGCAGGGAGATCACCTTAGTCGAGGCCCAGTGTTGTTCTGGTTAGCGGTGCTAATTGCCCCCTTTTCAGTGTGAGTGCTGAAGGACGGGGCACCTGGGGACTTTGATGTTCCTGGGTGTCATCATGTTATGTTGACTGGTAGTTGCTTTCAGGGGGACTGCCGAAGAATGCTAGCTTATGTACCTTCTTGAGCAAGACTTAGGGGAAGGAACATGGATTTTTATGGCCTAACCTGTTTTTTCTTAGTGGTATTGCGGAAGGGGGTGTTCCCAAATTCTTAGGAAAGCAGTTGGCACGCTCTGTTCTGTGTGCTGTCAAAGCAGATCAAGCTCAAATCATTGCTGCGCCTATTCATTTTGTGTATCTTTGCTGGCTACAGGGAGCGTTACGAAGCTAATGCGGCTTTTGCACTGAAATTGCTTGAACAGCATATCCAGTCCAGCGAGAGTGAGTTTAAATCCGTTTGTCATGCTATAGCTATAGTGTGTGTGTGAATACTGAGTGCCGACTGGTGGGATGGGTCTCGATCTCCCCGTAAGAAGTGCAGTGGTCCTCAGTGAGCTGAGCTTGTGCCTGCAGGATCAGGGCTGGCAGCTCCGGGTTGCTACTCGGGTTCATTTTGCTGTGTTTTACTTCAGCTCTCTTGAAAACTTTCTTGTATTAGAAAGAACAATTTGCTTGATGCTGGGAATCGCCCTTTGTGTTTCATCTTTCCTAACGTACCTTCTTTTCTTGCAGGCGTGAATGACAGAGGAGGTGCCCCCGACTGCGCTTACTGACATAAACCTGCGTCTTCTCTGCCACGATGACATAGACACAGTGAAACAGCTCTGTGGCGACTGGTTCCCAATAGAGTGCGTTACAGATTTGGGATGCGGGCGGGAGGGGGATCTAGACACGAGTGGTGTGAACGTGCATGGGTACAGTTCAGAGCTGAGACCAAAGGCCCCGCACTGTCTCTGGACTGTTGCTAAGCTGGCAGCAGCTTCTGAATCTCTTGGGCACCATGGTGGTGTCCCCATGAATGGCCAGTTGCTGCCTCTCCTGCAGAACTGTAAAGTCATCAGAATCCTTCTGTCTGCAGATTTTGGCAGACAAATGGGCTTTGTAACTAAGGGGGTGGATCTGCTTTTGGGGAAGACTGCGAGAGAGGGGACTAGGAGTATACCTTCAGGAAAAACGATAGCGTGGCTGCGTTTGTGAACGAAAGTTGTGTTCTTGAGCGTGTGCAAAGAAAGCGCACTCAGAGCTGACCCGAACCAACAACAAGCCGACTGTTTCTAAGGGATTGTCGTTCTGAACGTCCCAGGAGGACGGCAGACAGTACTTGCCTGTGTTCTCACGGTTGCTGTTGCTCCCCAAGCGCAACGCTGTTCAGTCGGATTTAAGCCTCAAGTTGAAGTTTGTGCAAGACGAGAACAGGGAGTTTAGTTGAATGGACTGTGTGTGAGCAGTATCTGACTGATACTGTGATTCCAGGTACCCTGGATGGTTAGGTTTGTTCTGTCCTGTGCTGAACCTGGGTGTTAGGTGGTTCCTGGGCTCTGAAGAGCATTAGTTGCAAGGGAGTTCTTGGCTGTCCTCAGCTTGGTGTGTCATTTTCACCCTCTGAAATGGGCCATTGTGGAGACCAAACCTCTGGACAGAGGAATCTTGTACCAAACAAATAAGTATCAAAAGCATGCAGATTCTTTTCCATTTAAAAAAACCAAAAACCTATTTCTCCATTCTCTCAGCTAGCATAAACAATTTTTGTGCTAACCTCTTCTGTAGGCGTAATGGAAAGGTGTCTCCTGCTTTAAGCCCCCTTGTGATGTGTCCTGCTTTGCTGGACCCAATTTATTTGCATTTTTACCTTTTGATTTTTGTCCTACGGTAGACCTCCTGTAGCAGTGGTGTTGAGGGGGGAGTATAAGCCCTTCTATAGATGAAGTGGTATACAATATACCTTTCTTTTACTTCCATGAGGCTGCTGACAGTGCTATTGAATGAAACGGCACTGCTTTCCCCTTCTTCCTGGTTGACTGTTGTCTTCCCTATCTGCTAGCACAAGTATTTGTGCAGCTGCATGGAAAAAACAGTTTCGAGACTTGATCTGGATTAAAGCTAATTGCAGTCTGTCCCAGGTCAGTTCCTCAGGCCCCTACTTGATAAATGTTTGTGCCACAAGCGCAGGTCTGAGGAGCTTCTCTGGGGGACTGTGATAGCTTTTAAAGCATCCAGAGAAACTGCAGCTTCAGACTTTAAAGATTTTTTTTTTTCCTTAGCTTCATTGAGAAGGTTTATAGAGAATTTTAGCAGACTATAATTAAGATTGCATGCAATTTAACAAACCAGCAAAAGCATTCATAGCTTTTTGAATTTGCAGGGTTTCTTTTTAACCCACAGCCTGCTGTCTGCTGAACATTCATTTAGGTTTATATCAGTGTACTGTAGTTTCAGTATCTGCAGAAGGGGGAGGAGGGCTGGAGGCTGGTGGCATGATTTTTGTACCAATATGCAGGGTTTTTTTTTTCCGCAGTATGTATCAAATTAATAGGATTCTTGAGCGCAGATGGATCCTGTGTTTAAAAATAGCTTACTAAAGATGGAAGTGAAGGCTCTGGGCAATGAATGGAAAACAAAAATGTGATTGTCTTAGCAAGGCGGGAGACCATTACGTCAGCAGCAGCTGCCTGCATTGCATCTCAGGTGCAATTGAAAGAAGCCATGCCACCAAATGGGATAGAGCAGCTGACTGATGTTTCCCAGGACCATGCAACAGTTAAGACAGGAAAGGTGAATAATGTACCCGCCCATATTTTATGGAATAGGTTAAGGTAATAGCGTAGGAAGAGCTTTAGATTGACATATAAGTCGGGGGCTTGACTCTACGTCTTTTCAGAAGGTAGCCCTTCCAGTAGTACAGCTTCCGTTCCTTAGACCTGTGTGAAATCCATTGGCCTGCAGTTCCACCGACTGGCATTGAAAGGTGTTGCTGCCCATTTCCAGTTAAGCAGCACTTTGACACAGTGTTCGCTGTAACCCTGCCTGCTCTCATGGGCTCCGTTTTCTCTCAACGGTCCTGTTTTTCCTTTCTTCCCAGGTACCCTGACTCATGGTACCGAGATATCACTTCCAACAAGAAGTTCTTTTCCCTTGCAGCCACGTATAGAGGCTCCATCGTGGGAATGATAGTAGCAGAGATCAAGAGCAGAACAAAAGTGCATAAAGAGGTAGGGAAACTGTTTCAGTGTGAGACATCCCACCACTTGCCATGGTTACCTGGGATGGGATCCGTTTGGGGTGTTTTTCCCCCTCCATCTGGACACTTGCAAGAGCCATCCTGACCTAATCAAAAGACCAAAAACACGCTGATTTCCAGCTAATGGAGCGTGGGTGGTGAGATGTGTGTGAACAAGTAGATTGCAGGGGTTAGAAACTTCTGCCGAGCAGCCTGTGACCAGAAAGTCTTTACCTGCTGGGGCAAGGCAGCTGTGGTCTGATGGGAACCTGACTATCTGAGGCTCTGTGGAAAGATCAGATGATGCAGGCCTACTCTAAAAGTGACCGTGTAGCAAGCTGTTGTACTCTGTTGCCTGGCTGTTCTCGGTGTACCTGCTCAGGGTGGTGACAGAGGAATGCACAGCTGTGGGAGAACAGACCTCCTCCTTTCTTACGTAAGACTTGATCTTCCTTAGCTGTACGGAGTGAGTCACCCCTGAGGGCTGACTTCCTGCAGAAACTAGGATGTCCTTCATTTAAATAGTCACTGTCTCAAACATAAGCAGAGGTAGCCAATCTGCAGAAAGCTCAGGCTTTATGGGTGAGAGAGCTTGGAGGCTGGGAGAGAGAACGCAGCATGGTCAGAGGTGAGGCAGAGATGATCACTGGGACGCTGTGGGGAAAAAGGCACAAGGGAGGACAGTCTAGGAAAATAAATAAAGCAAGGGCAATGCAGAGAGCCCAGTAACTTCTAAATGGCCATCAGTGTTAAGATTATACAGAGAATAACTGGTACTATTCTCCTTAGGAGCTCTGGAGCACTGAGTGGCATGAGTCTCTTCACGCTGGCTATCTGGCTTCATCTCAAAGCTAGTTAATGTCAGAAACTACCTCTTCAGCAGCCTTGTTAACTCCAGCAAAAGACTCTTGTTCCAACCAGCCTGAAATTCAGGGGCTTGTTCAGATATTGCTTCGGGCAGTAGGGCCTGTAGAACATGCCCCTTGCCCTCTACAGCAGTGCAGACATCTCCATTTGACATGAAGATCAGCTTGAGCATGCAGGCAATAAAGACTATTGCTGATCTAGACACTGATGTGTAAGTCCAAATTTGGCAATTTGAATCTTTCTGAGGAAATCGTGCTAATATATGTAATATGTCTCTAAGTCTACAAATGACGTATGTAGCAAGGAAACCCTAATGATTTATGTTCTGCATCTGGAAAGACGACAGGAAGGTAGGAGTATGCCCTAAGGGGCCGTGTTTGTTTCTTTTTGCCCTTCTGCCTTTCTAGAAGTTCCAGCCAAGACTGTTCTGTGCAGAGAAGTTCCCCACTAGCCTTGGTTTAAACATTCCAGTGCAGGATGCTTTATTTCTGTCCCTCCCCAAGTCCCCTACTAAATAACTTGTCCCATCTCTACCCAGGATGGAGACATCCTAGCTTCCAGTTTTCCTCTGGACACTCAAGTTGCTTACATCCTAAGTCTCGGAGTGGTGAAGGAGTTCAGAAAACATGGAATAGGTAAGACGCTGCTAAATGGCAGCTCTGTTGCTGTGTCTTGTTTCCAGTGCGTGGCTAGCGGGCGTGATTGAAAGAGCAGCAACGCTTCACTCCAATTGCCTGTTGAGACAAGCTGGTCTCTAACTTGACCCAGCAATTGGGAAAGTGATATGCTCACACCCGCCTTGAGTTGCTAATGCAGGTGCACCAAGAACTCTTCACTGGTGATAGCCCCACGCTCTCCAGAAACATCTGTACATTCTGTTTTGGGCCATGTCTGTCTTGTTGGTCAGGACTGAGACTGACTGAAGCACCGGGACTTCATCCTGGAGCAGGGTTTGAGCCTGTCTGGTGGGGGACAAGGCAGGAGCGTATATTCCCCAGCTTCTGTTTTTCTTCCATGGATATTGGAAGCCTGGCCCCTGGGGCAGGGAATGTAGCTGCTTTTAAGCTTTCAACTTAAAAAGATGAAACAAATGTTTCGGAAAAAGACCAAGGGAACTGGGAAAGCGTGTACCTGGAGTGTAACTTTGTCAAGTGCACATAAAGGTCAGCCCTGAATGCCTGCTGCAACGCACAGCAGTTTTACAACTGTTTGAAAATCCTGCAGTCAGAAGGGCTCATTTTCCTTTGGAGTAGGATGTTTTATGATCAAATAAGTGCCCTTCTGGTACAATTTCAGGTACCATCTATATCTTTGAGACTGATCCACAGAAGGAAATAGGCCAGGTTTGGCAGCAGGACTCAGTGTTGCACATGTGGAGTCTGCTCATTGGAGAGAGGTGTAACTTCTTTTCCTCAAGTCTTCCCTTTTCCTCCACTCACACTTATAAAGGTACCAACTGATATGATACATAAAGAAATAACCAGAAGAGTCCTCAGGGGGAGCACTATATTTAAAGCTTACAATGAGATGCTACTTCAGAGAAGTTTTCTCTACAAAGCAGAAAATGCTTACAGAGTAATGTTCAGAGAAAGCAGTAACGGGGTCTTTTGTTTGTACAGTTAGAGCTGTTTTGAGTCCCCTTTCGGCTTCCAAATTTTGACCAGCTCTATCTTGCTGGAATTTTCTCCTTCCGTATCAGGGTTTCCTGCATCCCTTAAATCCAGACAGTATGTCGCAGTGCTCTCTCTAAGTCTTTGGACTTGAAGCTGTAGCAAAATAACCTAAAGAAGCCACAGATGCCTTTTTTGAGAGTTTTCTCTTCTCAAGAGTTTTTCTACTTCTGTTTGAATCTGCAGCCTTTCATGCAGGAGACACCTCACCCCAGGCACACTTTCAAGCACTGCAGCTCCGATTTTTCTATAGTAGATGTTAGAAAGCTTTTGTCTCTAGTTCTCTGCTCTTAAACCAGAGAGCAGTTGAATTATTAGGGGACATGAGTGGAACATGTCTTAACAAAATTAAATTGCTCTCCTGTTGGCATCTCTGGTGGCTTTTTGTGCTTGGCTGATGTAAATTCCCAGTAAGTATCAAGTAGCCGTGAGTTGGTCCTGTTGACCCGTGCTCTGAAGTTCTGTGGGTACTGCTGAAAATCTTACGTGCCCTATGATTTTTTCCCCTGGTGAATCTCATCTATGTGTTTTGTGCTAGCCAAACTATTTGTTTAACGCCGCCTGTTATTACTACACCAGGTGGAAGAAGTAGCTGCGCTGTTTCATCGGATGGCAGTTACTAGAAATCTCTTCTGTGGTAGTGTAGGTGCGTGCAAGAAGCAAGTTCTGCTGAGTCCTTCATGCTGTGTTGAGGTTGTTCAGATGAACCTCTAGGTCTAGTTTCCTGGGGCTAGAGTATCCTCTGTGCCCTTCTTTGGTTTCTCCTGCCGACACTCGTGATTGCAGCAAACCCTGGCTGAAGGAGGCTTTCTGCCTCAACTCTTCACCTAAGAAGGGATGTTAAAGTCCTACCAATTCTTAGATTTTTTTTTTTTTTTAAGTTTGAGCTGAGCAGAGGCAGTGCAGTGACCTGCTTGTGAAATCCTGTTTTAACTCTTTGCGATTTTAAATGGCTTTAAAATAAATAATTATGAGGAAACTGCAATTAAAGAAGACTCGCTAACCTTCCCCAATACCAAATGGCTCCCAAGGCCAAGAGCTTGGCTTGGGGATGGGTATTACTAGCAAATTCCCACGTCTAGCTTGAAGCCCTGCTCATTAGTGAGATGAGATTCGTATTTGAACCACAGGGCACAGCCCTACTGAGTGTCCTGATGATGGACTGGGAGAACTGGGTGGGATCTGGGATCCTTTCTAAGCATGTGCAGCAGTCATTGCTTGAATGGTGGGTGCAGGTGATCCCCCTGGGAGCTGAGCTTTCCTGTGCTGTCACTGAGAAGGCAGCTGCACTGATTCTGTTGTTCCTTCCTTTGATAGGTTCGCTCTTGCTTGAAAGTTTAAAAGATCATATATCAACGACGGCCCAGGATCACTGCAAAGCCATCTATCTGCACGTCCTCACCACTAACAACACAGCAATAAACTTCTATGAGAACAGAGACTTTAAACAGCACCACTATCTTCCCTATTATTATTCCATAAGAGGGGTCCTCAAAGATGGCTTTACCTACGTTCTCTACATCAACGGCGGACACCCACCCTGGACAATCTTATATCCTTTACCCTTCGGTCTGATTAGTCTGAATGAGCTAAGCAAGCACTAAACCATGTTTTGAGTCAGAAATAGCAACCCAGCAGAGTGTGGCCTGGCTAGGGCTGGGGACTGATGCCTGTGCAGATGTGGGCTTAATTGAACCAATTTCCTTGAAGCCAAAAGAAAGGCAGTATTAGACTGATTTGACAGTGATCTATTTATGCCCAAACTCCTCCAAGTGTTCTCCGAGTCTCTGGGAACAGTTCAGGGAGTCGGTGTAGGCTGGTGCATTGAATCCTAATTTGGGGCAAGTTTGCCAGTGAAAGCGAACGCTAGTGTTTAGCCAAAGTTAGACGTTCTTTGGCTGAAGTGGTGCAGAATATTCCCAGCAGCCTCAGACTCGGCATGTCAGAGAAGGCCTCGGTTCTGTTTCCTATGGTCATAGCATCATTTGTGACCTTGGCCCAGCCCAGGTCTCGCCTGGCTCAGCACCCCACGTGGTGGGTTTGACTTCCCAGCTTCCCAGAAGAAAGCAGGTGCATGCCAGCTCTTCCGGTTATATTGAAAAGGTCTGAACTTCTGTTCAGATCTTGGATGTGAACAAGCCCTCTTTCCCATTCGGAAGGGAAGCACCCCGCCCTGAGAGGCAGGCTGAATAGAAAATGGAGGACAAACCAAACTTAGATGAAGCTTTTCTTGATCTTTCCCAGGTGTAGCTAAACGGTCAAAATCTCTCCAGGCAGACAATGGACTGTGAGCCCACAGTAACTTGCTGTGGAGTATGAAGGAAACTAAGAGCCGGGGTATTTCCCACACAGGTTGGAGCCGGTGCTCCCAGACTGCCTCCTCTTACAGTGCACAGTTTTTAACAGAAAGGAGCAGTCGGTTAAGTGTGAGGAGCAAGACAATCTAAATAACTGAGCAGGGCAGCTTTCACTGCGTTATACGATCTCCTGAGGGAGTGCTAGTCCAAAGAGTGTTTTAAGTTATTTCTCTAGATATAATATAAATGTCATCGTCCTTAACTGATGGCCACTGACTACCTACAGCACATTGGATCAACACTAGCCAGCCTGAGCCCCTGTTCAATTCCCCAGAGGATATATCGACAAGCCCAGAGCCTTCTCTGCAGCCTTCTACCGTGGTCTGGCATTTCTGCCAAGAGCGGCATTGAGTATAGCCGGACAATGTGACTTGATCAGAAGATGTACAAGAAGCAAAGGTAAGGCACCGGAGGGAAAGCTCCCCTTCCCTCTCCGAGGCCTAGCGATGCAGTAGTGGCGTCCGCATCCTGTGTCCTGGGCGCTGCAGAGCGTGCTCAAGCGAGGGCCGCTGGAGCTGCGGCTCTGTGCGCTCTCGTTGCGCAAGCTGCGGTGTAAGGTGTCTCGGATATCCTTGTGCTCTGGTCTCCAGCTGGTCGTCAAACTCCTGTTGGTTCCGTTTGAAGGGTATTTAGGGTCTGATCTTGTTTATTTGTGCCCAGCGCCTGGCAGTAGATTGAACCTGTCCCTCCTGTCTCTGGCCTTTTTCTCCAGCTCTGTTAAACCATCTTGAAAGACCCAGCATAAGAGTCCTCGCCCTTTCCCCAGCACGGTGCCCGAGCACAGTAACTGATCGCCCATTTGCTGCCAACTGCATTAAACCTCTCTGATAAGAAAGTCTTCAGGACAGCAGCTCCCCAGCGCTAAGAGACCCTGTTCCTTTGTGCAGTAACAACTGTTCTCCCTAAGGCAGTTGCTCTCTTTGTCTTTCTGTCAATTCTAGGATTGTTCTTCCTTTCATCTCCTGAACCATCGGCTCTGCACTGATTCCAGCGATGGTGGCTTTCGGTCAGTGACCCAGCCCTTTGGAAAGAACTCCTTTTTCCACAGATTGACCAAGATTTGGCAGACTTCCAGTTTAACTGGCTGCAGCCCTGACTTACCCCGGTGGCCTGGAGTCTGCGAGTGCTGCATGGACGGGCCTGGCTGCCTTGTAAGGCACCTGGCTGTGCCGTAGGCGAGGGCCTCTTGCTGTCACAGGTCTGTGTGCATGTTGCACCGTCCCTGCCACTGCCCTTGCCTCTGGCTGGTTCACTGGTTCACTCGTAGTTGTATCCACGATGCAGAGGGGTTCAGTCGCTGCTCCCACGCTGTCGCTACGGAAGGTGATGTGAATGAGGTTAACGAATCTGCACTGACCAACCATGTAAATGAACCGTAAGCGGCCTGGCAGCCGCTGCCAGCAGGGGATGGAGTTGTGTCCTAGTCGCAGGGGCGGGGGGGAGCTGGGC